CCCCCCCCCCCCGCCATTTCTTTGTACTATATATGGAAACTGAGTCAAATTTTCCATACATCTCTCTCTCTCTCTCTTTCTTCTAGATTTTATTTGTTATGTTTGGCATCTGTGCTTGCTTATAGGTGAAAGACTCGGTAAAACAGGCTTCAGAGTGAGAGAGAGAGAGAGAGAAGATGCAAAGGCAGCAGAAAAGACGGGCCTTGTCCTATTACTCAGGTAAATATGTAAGGGAATATACGAATTTAAAGCGGAAGCCCAATAGGCAGCCACTAAAACTGAGTGAAGCAGGACGGCATATTGCAGCCCAAATGCTTCGTTAGGTGACCTTCAGATTCCACATCCCAGGCGTGGAATTAATTAGAAAACAGCCTCTGTTGTGTGTATATATAAAGAGAGACATGAATTAGGCTATGGGAAATCAGGCATGGGAATCCACACAGAGGCCCCATATCATCAGTAGCGGCATAAGGGTTCGATTTTGTTCCAACGCGTCGACGTTCATGTTTGGGCGATGGCAAGTTTTTAGGCTTATCTGGGCCGAATAAATTAGCAGGTCCTGATGATGGACAGACAGAGAGCGTTGGTTGTAGGAAACAACGGTAAAGAAGGGGGAGCCGAAGGATAAGGGAGGAAGAAGACGAGTCGTCGTCGTCCGGTGGAGTGTTTTTCGGTCGTGTGTCTCGCCATGCAGGCAGTGCAGAGCTAGCAATCCCACCGTAATTCAAAGGCCCCGATCGTTTCCTTTTGAGCTATTAGGCAATGAACATATAATTTTTCTTTAAAAAAATTAATTGATTTATTAATCCATGACTAATTAACTATAATTATTAAAACAGTCTACATTAATTTAATCATATTGATAATATTATTAAATAATGAATTGATAGTTTTCAATTCCTATTTCATTGAAAAAATGTGTATATTTCAATAAATGAATTTATTACATTGGAATGCCAAAGAATTAAGTGTATGTATATTAATCTATTAAACTAGAATGATTAAATTCACATTATTATTAAATTTTTAATGTTATTCTGCTTATTACCCATTTTTTACCCTTATTTTCATCTCTATTCCCTTAATCCCAACATACATTTAAAACAACTAACAATTAAAGAAAAAACGGTGATAATTATTATATATATTGATTTGATTCCAACTAACAACTAAACAGAAATTAACCAAATAAATAATCTATACTTAAAACGAATTATGTGCCTCTTAATTAAGCAAAACATAAAATTTGAGGTCAAAATTAGTTTAAAACATTTTCTCCAATTTCCAAAAAAGTACTTTCTGTCCCTTTCAATCAAGACTCCTAAATACCCGATGATTATGCAGTAATTGGAGGCCACTTAGGGTATTTTCGTCAATTTATCCGAATCTCCTCGTCTCTTGGTCTTTGATTTTTTTCAACTAACAGTAAATATCTACGTGGAATTAAAAATACCCAATTTCTATACCTACAACTCACTCCTCTGCGGCGATGCGCACCCTAGTTTCCGTATATTGCACATCTTCACCGTAGATTAAACCAACGTTTGAATGATGATGATCCATTCTGACGGCGAGATGACATATATAAAATGATAAATAATTAAAAGAATTATTAGGCATGGTTTGTTATTTAATTAAGAAAATTTAAAAGTTCAAAGTAAATTATTGATGGTTAGATAAATAGGGCATTATGAAGCCAACCAACCATACCATTAGGCATTAGGCACTAGCGTAGTGAAGGCGCATGAGCGTTGATAAGGTTGAGCAGCACATTATCAGACCCTTATTTCAAGGGTCAACTAAATAAAGGCATAATCAAGTCCCCAACTGTAAAAGGTGAGCCGCGTACACGTCGGACCACAATCTTTCCTCAAAGCTCAGGAGGAGGAGGAGGAAGAAGAAGAAGAAGAAGAAGAAGACGATAGATCAGAATGTGAAGTGCGGTTTTGATTTTTCGGAGTAAAAGGCGATCAAAAGTATTCATCGCAGCTGCTAAACATGCTCAGATTTCTACTCCCATGGCTTCTAATTCACTGCTTCGTCTTCTCTCTTTCCTCAGCTCGTCCTCGTGAGCTTCCCCTACTCTCTCTCGTTCACCGTTTCTTCGTTTGAATTTACATTTTTATTTTTTTGCTGCTGTACTGAATTAGGATTCACACTCTCGCTCCATTTCTCTGACTAGTGCCTTTTAATCTAATGGCTATTCAATTGCTCTGAATTTGAGTTGAGAGGAGTGCAATTTGGACTTGACTCATCGGCGGGTAGATCTCTAAGTTTCCAACACTAATTAGATTTGTTGCTTTGAGTGGGAAGTGAATTATGTGCTTCTGAATTCAATGGTGACTGTAATGGTATCTTGAATCTGTGATGATTTCCGCGTTGCTTGATTTTCTAACAATTTTTTGAAAAGTCGAAGGATGTGGAGGGAATAATACGAGTGCGAAAATAGGCATTCTTCATACAATTGGAATTGTAAGGAAATGAGGAGCTGTTGAATTAATAACCACCATTTTTTACGTATAGGGAAGGCTGCAGAAAATAAAGAAGCTAGGAAGCAGGATTTTCCTTGTCTGATAGATTCTGGATTGAATTACTTCATTTCTGCAGAGAAGGAAAACGTTCATTTTCTTTTCGGACAATGGGCATTCGATAAAATTATTGAAAGGCATTCCTAGTTAATAAGTAGTTCAATATCTATGAGCCTTTGTAGTTTTAGCACATAGTAGATGTCTGAAAACTTAATGCATTCCTTATATGTCTTCATATCATTACTGTCTTATCATGCATTCATGTGTCCTATTGTTGCAGAACCATTTGCTATGCGCATAAGCTGTGGGGCTCGGACTGACGTCCACACACTTCCAACAAATACTCCATGGTTCAAGGACTTCGCATATACAGGAGGGATACCAGCTAATGCGACACGCCCAAGTTATATCTCTCCTCCTCTTAAAACCCTTCGCTATTTCCCCTTGTCTGCGGGTCCTGAAAATTGCTACATCATCAACAGAGTGCCAAAGGGACACTACTCTGTGAGGATCTTCTTTGGGATTGTTAAACAACCTAATTTTGACAATGAACCTCTATTCGATGTTTCTGTTGAAGGCACACAAATTTGTTCACTTAAATCAGGGTGGAGCAACCACGATGAACAAACATTTGCTGAATCCCTTGTATTTTTAACGGATGGCTCTGCCTCTCTCTGCTTTCATAGCACAGGTCATGGAGATCCAGCTATCCTTGCGATTGAAATCCTTCAAGTGGATGAGAAAGCATATTATTTTGGTTCCAAATGGAGTCAAGGAATGATCCTTAGGACGGCCACAAGACTGAACTGTGGTGCTGGGAAGCCCAAGTTTGATGCAGATAATAATGGGAACCATTGGGGTGGGGATAGATTTTGGAGTCCTATTAAAACTTTTGGTCAGCAGTCTGATCGTATCATCTCTGTTGAAACCAGCATCAAACAAGCTTCAATTTCGCCAAACTTTTATCCAGAAGCTCTATATCGGTCTGCACTTGTGAGCACCGATAGTCAACCTGATTTGACATATATAATGGATGTGGATCCCAATAGAAACTACTCAATATGGTTTCACTTTGCTGAGATTGATGGTTCAATCAGAGATGTTGGAGAAAGAATTTTTGACATCTTGATTAATGGCAATGTTGAATTCCAAGATGTGGACATTTTGAAACTCAGTGGTGGTCCTTATACTGCTCTTGTACTTAACAGGACTGTAGCTGTCAATGGGAGGACTTTGACTATTACCTTGCAGCCTAAAGAAGGCAGTCATGCCATAATCAATGCCATTGAGGTGTTTGAAGTTGTTTCAGCTGAAGTAAAAACATCCCCAGATGAAGGTAGGGTGTAGATGCATCCCCTGCTTCTTCTTTAATGTACCATGTTTGTCCATCTTTTTTTCTTATTGAAAGAAATATTTGTTTCAATTTTCACAATTACGGAGTGCAGAATATGTGATTTTTCTGCATTTTAGTCTTTAAATCCTGGAGTGATTACTTGCAACTAATTTTGTCACATCATTATAGTTAGGGCTTTGCGGAGCCTGAAGAAGGCATTAGCACTTCCTGTTCGTTTTGGGTGGAATGGTGATCCATGCGTTCCTCAACAACATCCTTGGAGTGGAGCAGACTGCCAATACGATAAAGCTGGAAACAAATGGGTCATTGATGGACTGTACTTTCCTTATCTTGTTCCTTCTAAAGAAAAATATGAAAAAAAATTTGTTATCTGAGATATCATGCAGCCATATGACGATATTTCAAAAAATTTGCTTGCTGATGGCTTCTGTGTTTATTCATTTATTCATTTTTAGAGTTTTTACAAGCATTAACTTCTACATTGCATGGCCAGGGGTCTTGACAACCAAGGTCTAACAGGATTCTTGCCAAATGAAACATCTCAACTGCGTTATCTACAAAGCATGTAAGTTATTGTTTGAAGTACTTCATCTTTTTAGTAAATAGTGAAAAAAATATATATATTCTCTTGGTTTTTTGGTTGATTTTCATTAAATAATTTAAAATTTTGTTCCTTCCAAAGATTTATAACTAGTATAGAGGATTCTTAATCTTGGACCAGATTAAAATAAAATTGTTTTTGGTATTTAGGGAGTGAAACTTCTGTTATATGATGTCCGCTGGTGTCTGTTGCTTCATATCAGTAATCCATGCATGTATGTTTTTCCAGAAATTTAAGTGGAAACAGCATCCATGGTCCCATTCCAGCCTCACTTGGAACAATAACCAAGTTAGAAGTTTTGTGAGTATTGCTTATAAACTTCTCTTGAAGCTTTTTTTGGATTTCTGATTTTTTAATCTAATCTACACTGTTGATACATAGTTTGAAAGATATGTCATTTAATTGAACCAGTGCAACTTTAAAGTTAGAGTTAGTAATAGTGACTTAGATGATAAGCTAGAATCCGTGATAAACAAGCATAATCTAGGTAATGATGTTGAGGTTTTGATCTAGTGTGCACTCAGTATTAATCATAGCATAGTAGTTGAGAAATTAAAAACTTTTAATACCGACTGTGGAGGGTTCACCACGCTGCCTAAGAGGGACAGAAATCCTGACAAGCCAGTGTTAGTAGAGACGCAAAAGAAGAGCTTGATCATAGCAGGTTGGTTGTGTGCATAGTGAAGTGCTTATAGGTTGCAGAGAACATAGAGTTTCTTAAACCACACCATGTGAGTTGGTTTCTCAAGAATGTGTTTTATAGAGAATTGGCAACTCCACGTGCATGTATCAAGCTTTGTGAGAGTACATATCAGTGAAATCATCTTTGTTCAGTGGACATAGTGGTGAGTTTCAAATGAAGTTATACCTTTGTCTCCAGAATGTAATGGGGAAGTTGCGGGCAAGTAATGGATTCTTCTGCTGAATGTGTGTTTCAACGTGAACACCATGGAGAGTGATTTGTATAAAATGGCTATATGGAAGGGAACTAAAAAGCTTCTAGAAGCACTACTTTTCTTCCAATGAAATACTGAGAAATATGCCACGCCATGAGATCTGATGGTTGGTTTGGAGATACAGCTCGTGGAGGGCAACTTGTATTACAAGAGTATTTTTAGTCCAAGTCCAAATGGTAGTCAAGGAGTGATACCATCTAATGTTGAGGTTCCCTAGAAGAGGGGGGTTGTGGCTTGTTGTTTTGTCTAGCCATTGGGCCACAGAAAGAGTGGAGATGATTTACCATTTCCTCACGAGATTCTCTCTTTGAGTGGCATAGAACCCTTCATAACGGAGATCATATCTCATAAAAAAAAAAGTAATGTAAACAAGTAGGAAAGCAAATTAATGGCGTCTTTGGGATGTTTAAAATGTCCGAGAGGGTAAATTAGATATTGTTCTATTCTATTCTATTGAATGAAGCTGGCTGATGAATAATTGCTGATATGTATATAAGGAGTACAGTAATGTTTCTAAATGTAAAAAAAAAAAATGCACAACGATAATTTTTTGTGAATAAGTATGATGCGAATGTTTTTTTTTTTTTTTTTTTTTTAGATTTAGATTGTTGTTTCAGTTTATATTTTGATTGTTATCGCTCAATCTAGACAACTGTGGCAGTACAATGCTTGAAATATATTTTCTCTATTAGGGATCTATCCTACAATTCCTTCAATGGATCAATTCCTGAAAGTCTTGGACAGTTGACATCATTACGAATACTGTAAGATACTTCAGACCATATCCAATAAATTGAACGTAATGATCATCACATCAGGACGTTTTTTTTTTTTTTTTTTACCCTCACAGGAATCTTAATGGAAACTCTTTGTCCGGAAGAGTGCCTGATGCTTTAGGTGCAAGGCTTTTGCACAGGGCCAGCTTCAAGTAAGCAGTTACTTTATTGTTAATTATACGTGGCAGAGGAAAATTCTACTGTTCATATGTATTTTTATTAGATACTGATATTCTAGCATGGACGGTACAGCTTTACTGATAATGCCGGTCTCTGTGGTATACCTGGGCTACCTGCATGTGGGCCACACCTTTCTAATGGTGCTAAAATAGGGATTGCATTTGGAGCTTTAATTATGTTCTTGCTCATAATTACTTTTGTGGTTTGCTGTTGGAAAAGGCGGCAGAATATCCTCCGAGTGCAGAATGCTGGTAAGAACGTTGTTGATGAGTTTGTCTATCTAAAAGTAATACCATTGTTTTACATTTTCTTTTTTTGAGTTAGGGATAACCTCATGGTATGCATAGGTTCTTTTCCTGAATAGTGTTATAATCGGTGACTCAATAAGTTCATTTTGTGGTCTCTGTTAAATACGGTACACAAATCCCAAATGAGGCATGGAAATGCTATTCTAGATTTGGCATCACTAAGAGCTAATTATGCACTATTATTGGATCACTCTTGCAGCAAGAGATGCTCCATATGCAAAAGCTAGGACCCATCTATCTCGTGACATCCAGATGACAATGCATCACAATCAAGGCCATACGAGGGCTCCCACTGAAAATGGACGTTTGATTTCCTGATTCAACTCTTAAAACTGAGCCATCTTGTCTAGTTGAAGCCAGCTCCTTCCTTGGTATGACTGCATTAGGTCGGTTATGAATCCAATTGCACCAATAATGGTAAAGATCCTTGACGCCCCAATGGAAGTTAATTCTTGTACATTGATACAATTCTTTACACACTCTTACAACTTGAACCGGAGATGAGATGAGAAGTGAATGCTCAAGATTTTTGTAGACCAGTAGAGAACTGCTTGCATACAGAAGAGAATATAAAAAAGGAAAAAGATAACCTTTTCTTCGTAGCAAAGGTTCAGGTAGAGAAAAACCCTTTTCATTTTTGAACTCCCTCATGTCCCCAATTGTAACTTTTATTATCCCATTTTTTTGCATTTTACTCGTTGAATACTGTTGAGCAATTTGATTTACTATATTACATGAATACAAGAACGTGTGTTTGAGTCGTTATATTATGTCTGGCTTTGTGATTGTGTTTCTGTTTACCTTGTTATTACAGGAATCCCGAATCTCCACAATGGTACGATATTATTCACTTTGAGCAATAAGCTCTCGTGGGTGTGCTTTGGGCTTCCCCAAAAGGCTTCGTACCAATGGAGATCCTAAATTAGCCAATGTGGGACTTTCATTCACCAACATAACATACCTAACATAATCAGATAATGAATTTGAAAGTTGTTTTGAGCTGAATTGTTCTTGTTTTTTCATCACTTGTTCACGCAAAACTGTTGCCTCACGTCAAAACCTGAGTTGTGATTTGTATTATTATTATTATTATATTTGTAGGTGGGAAGCTGGAAGAAGGGAAATTACAAATGCAGGTAAACAGAAGTGAAGGGCGGAAGAGCACATGGAGTGTAATCTGACAAGTAGTTTTTAACTACTTCCGGACAAAATATTTTACCATTTAACCTGCATGTAAATTTTATTTACGGAAGATAAAGTTTATAATATTTTTGGAAGTTTTAAAAAAAGGAATCGAGACGTCATTAACTGCTGATATAACCTTACTTTTTTGTCTGGAAAGAAATAAAAGCAGCCAAAAAAATAATACACAGAAACCCCCCATTGGCAGTAACTACGTATTTACAATATTCATTTCGAAGTAAATTAGCATTCCAGCGGAATTGAATTGAAACCTCCATGTTCAGTCATTGTCAGAGTCCCCCCACCGTCCCTCCCCTCTTTTACCACCAACTATCTGGCCCCTCAGCCACTGAGCGGCTGAGCCCCTCTCTGGAAAACAAAAATAATAATAAAATTGGAAAAGAAAGGGAAGGCCCAGCCCGGCCCAATTGGAGGGTGTTCCCTAGACTGAGACACCACTTATAAAGCCTCCACGTGTGCCCATTTTTCTGACAGTCTCACATATTTTGGCAGGCGCCGGTCAGCCCCCCATTCGTAGGGCTTACGTCATCCTCCTCACGTCTAATCAGGCGGCGGCTCTCTCTTCCCTTTCCTGATCCAGGCCCCACCCTCCTCCTCCTCCTCCTCCTCCTCCTCCTCCTTTTGCTATTTATAATATTAAATTAAACCCTTTATTATTATTTATTTATTTAATCAAAATCTGGTTCTTAATCTCTCATCCGACGGCCGCTATATGAGGTATTTATTTTGTTAATTAAAAAAAAAAAAAAAAAAAAAGAGTTGAAATATGTGTGTGTATTTATGCCGTGTACCCGAGGATTACGGGTGACTTGGTGGGTCCCTTCCCTTCCTTTCCTTTCCCTTCTTCTTCCACTTCAAAATTGTGTTAAAACACATTTCACTTCCTTTACTCACCCAAATCTCTTTTCCTTCTGTTCTTTTTTGTTTTTGTTTTTCTATTATTATTTTTTTTTTTTAAATTTTGTTGGTGATTCCCCCATGGCTTCCACTCGCGAGGCTCACTACAGGGGCGTCAGAAAGAGGCCATGGGGTCGCTACGCCGCTGAGATTCGCGACCCTTGGAAGAAGACCCGTGTCTGGTTGGGCACTTTCGATACCCCTGAAGAAGCCGCCCTTGCTTACGACGGTGCCGCCAGGTCCCTCCGCGGCTCCAAAGCCAAGACCAACTTCCCTCCCCCTCTCTCCCTCGACCTCAACGTCTCCTCCACTCCTACAACCTGCAACTGGCCTTCCTCCTCCTCCTCCTCCGCCGCCGCCGCCGCCCCTTCCTCCTCCTCCTCCTCCTCCGCCGCTCGTCTTCTCCTCGGCGATTTCCTCCGCCACGGCGCTCGCAACGACTTGTGTAATGTCAATGTGGAGGCCTCTCCGGGACTGGTGGACTCGAGCGATCCAGCGCCCAACACTACGGCGTCGTTTATGGGGCACGTGCGTCGTGGCCTCCCCTTTGATCTGAACGAGCCTCCTCCGGTGTGGCTATGATTCATTCAACAACCCCACCACACGGCTTTTACCGGCGTTTTTAACGGACATCTCTTTCTCATTTCTCTCACTTTTTGTCGTTTTTTTTTTTAAATTTTATATTCTGACAGTATTCTGTATCCACTTTTTCACCCCTAGATTTAAAAAAAAAAAAAAAAAAACCCATTAAAAGAATATGTAAATACAAGTTTTTGGTGGATATTGATTGAAAAATCTTGCACCTTTTTTTATTTTAATAATATTTTCATGAAGCGGCGTAATGATGCCGGCGGCCGTCCGCCGAAAATATTGCTTCCATCCGACGTTATTGGTTCGAACGCATATAAATATAAATATAATAATAATAATAATAATAACAATAACAATCGTCACGCGCCAAAAGCATGAGTTTTTCTTTTTTATTATTATTTTTATTAGTAATTTGAATTGGTGTTTGGAACGACGTCGTAGTAAGGGAAGGAAGCCCAAGCGTGTGCACTTTATAATAATTGCATTCCATTCTTGGTTTCCCTTCGCTTGGTACGTCTGCTTTTGTGGTTTCGGCAATTTCAGCACCCTATTTATTCATCCTTTTTTATTTACCCTAAACCCTCTCCCCTCTCCTTTTCCACGCGCCTCCCCCCGCGCGTCTACCCCAATCCCCCTTTCTTATTTTTATCCTCCGCCGTCCGCCGTCCGCCGTTCACGATTTTCTTCACTTTAAAATATTTAACTCAATATCCATTTTACTGTTTTATCCTTTTCCGTACGAACCTTTCTTTTTTCTTTTTTCATAATTAAGTAGAGATAATAATTGAACTACAAACATGTCTTTTCTGTTATGATATGTGTAGCTTCAACTTTATATATATATATATATTTTTTTTTTTTTTAAATAGCAAAATTTCAAAATAATAATAATAATAATAATAATAAATGGAATATTTTGGTGTATTTGTAAGAGTCAAAATTTGGTTGTACTATAAAGTGAGAGTTGTGTGTATGATTGTATGAAAGTGGGAATTGGGGAACATTCCTTTGTTGGCTAACCTTCCTTTTCACTTTCTTTTACTTTTGTCAACATTTGCTCACTTCAATTTCTATTTTTTTCTTTTTCTTTTTACACCATTTATTTCCAAGGTAAAAATGTCATTTTTAGTTCCGCTATTCTCATTTGTCTGTAATTTCAATTATTGAAACTTCAAAGATATCGATAGAAGCATCTACCTAAATTGGATAAAAATGTAATCTAATTCTTCCATAATTTTTAATAAATCTTAAATTTAGTCATTTAAATTAAAAAAAATTATATGGAAGGCGGCAACCCTCAAAAATCAAACACCCATTACAAAAACGAGGGTAAATAAATAATTATATTTGTTTATATATTTTTTTTTTACAAAAAGTCAACAAGAATTGCAATGGGCTGGTGGGTTACGTTGCGCGCCTGGTTTACTTCAATTTCTTAAATATTAATCACGTGCTCTTAATTAATTTTCGTAATTGAAGAAAATTCAACCCAAGAGAAAAAAAAAAAAAACAAAGATTTTGAGACAAAATCTTGGTTGATTATTAACCTATTTTGGCCAAAATAAAACAAATTACAGTGCCAAACCAACCAACCAACCAAACCCCGTTTTCCCATTACAAATTTGTTCCAGATTTTGTCTGTTTGGAATTTGGATTTTAGGGTTAAAATAAAAACCCAAAAACAAAAAAGAAAAAGAAAAAGAGAAGCGTCCCTCCTGGACGGCGGCTTAATAGTTTTTTTTTTTTTTTTTTTTAAATTAAAAAAAAAAACATTGTTCACGTTAATTAAATTAATGAAGCTTCCATAAAAACCTGGGTGGTGAGGTGGGGCGAAGTTGTAAAAAGAGAATAGTTGAGGGGGGCGTGTGGAAATATGAAGAAATTAAGGGAGTGAGAAGCAGTCGCAGAAACAGAGAAAGTGCGGTGCAGAGTCGACGCAAAATAAATAAATAAATAAATAAATAAAATAACTAAAAATATAATAACTAAATAAATAAATAAAATAACTAAAAATATAATAAATAAATGGCGTCATCATAAAAACTGCCACCCCCACACCACCTGCACTTTGCCACAGCCGTCATTTCAAACCGCCACGTCCTCCCTCATTCCATACCCTTCTTTTTTTATTTTCTTTATTATATTCCAAAATGCTTTTACACATCTCACCCATCCCCCCAACCCTTTTTTTTTTTTTTTTTTTTTTTTTTTTAATAAAGAGTAAATAATAATAATAATAATAATAAATAAATAAAGGAATTAATGAGGGTGTCGGTAGCTGAGACATCACGGCGGCTTAGCGTAGCGCCAACAACTAAACAAGCCGCTCTGAAGTCAATTGTTTTTTTTGGACCCTTCCTTAGGCCTTATCCACTCTTTTTCTGTTTATTACATTGTCTTATATTTACCCTTTAAAACACGTTTGATTTGAATTTTGCTAAAAAAATATTAAATAAATACCAACTCCCACTTCGATTCTCAATTCAAACAATTCAAAACGCGACTGTCGCTTTTTATTTTGAATAACTTCATCACACTCAAATATTATGCTCGTTTTTAATGCACTAAACAAATTGATTCTTATGTTTATGGTTAAAATTCTACAATAGTATGATATAGACTCTCGTGACTTTGATAGATTATTTATTTATAAACCAAGATAATCCTTTAATTAATCAAAGTGGAACTACTCTTCCAATAATTTTCGACATGATTCACACATACACGAGAAGACTTTAGTCGAAGCAGAACCTAAAATCATTTAAAACTTGCTTGTTTTATCAAGCGAAACATTGAAGATTTCATTCCGCCCTAACAGATAACGTTTTAAATGAGGAGCCGGCTGCAGTCCCACTCGTCGTATACGGCGGGGTTTGCCAAGCAGCCAAGCAAACAAGAGGCGGCCCCTTTGCCTCTGTCCTTGTGTATTACTCAATACTACTGCGGCTCTGCAGGTAAATTTGAGGTACTCACAGCCTCAACCATTCATCCAGTGGCCCATCTCTGTCCCGCCAATAAGCTAATCATCGGCCTCTACAGCAAAACAACTTATGGCAGGGGGGCCCTTTCCCTTTCCAATGGCTACTTTTGGCTTCCCACTGATCTTCTAACCATACAATCAATAAGATACTATGATAAAAGCGCAAATACTTCCTTTTTTCTCCTTTTCTTGTTATGTTATCAACTTTACAGAAGACACAGCATCAAAAAAGTTCAACTAAATTTGCACCAACAAGTTTAGAACGATTGGGAACACCTTTTTAATAAACTAGAAACAAAATTACCTTTAATGGTTCCATGGGCAATCACTTTTACGAAGATCAGAACCCCTTACGTTCATTCGAATAGAGAGAAGACAAAGGCTCTTACCGAGCATTCAAGACACGGTTCGATAAAAAGCTTATGATATTATAGATTATGGTCATGCAGTTTAATAGTAGTTTACAGACTCTAGAATTATTTCTACATACAACACTTGGACATGTACGCTAGAGTTTCCTTATTCTGAGAGAATGTGGCAGAAACTCACTAAGGATTTTCCATATCGCTTGAACCAGGATGAGCATCTCCATTTAAGTCTTCCATCATCTCCTCAACTATTCTCCATCTGTTAGAAGCATAAATAAACTCAAGAACCAATAATGTATTTACAGTAAACTTCATGTTATTTGGAAAATGTCTGAGTACCTCTCAAGAACAAACTTCCCCTCCTTGTACTTTTGGTATTTGTCATGTGTAGTTACCTATTAAAATGCATCAATATCAATTGAGCAAACTAATACTACAATCAACAACTCAACTGAAAATCCCTTCATAAAAACACAAACCCACAAATGTTTTCAGATGCAAACCATAAATTACACCATTTTCAACTCTAATTTAATGTTATTTCAGGATTTCAGGCAGATGAAAGGTATTATCACATACGTATACATGCATGTATTGGAGAACATTTCTACTCATCCTGTCTGGTAACAATGAAAAATATATATTTTTTTTGTAAACTCATTATAATAACTGCTGCTTCAATGCGAACCTGCCTATTTAGCTGCTGAAGTTGAGACAAGCCCAGCAGACAACCAGCCAACCAGCCAGGCAAACATGATTGTTGTACCTTACCTTCCATGTGACATTTACATCTAATTGTGATGATTACATTGTGCATATAATTGTTTTCTCTCTGTTCTCTCTAGAAAGGAATATTACATGTATACTATGCACGAATTAAGTAGTCACCCCCTCTTAGCTTGTCTTAGGCTACAAATTATATTGGGGAAAAAAAAAACTTCGCCTTAATCAATAGCTGAAATTTTTAAAAACTCAATATTACAGTTCTCATTACCATTACCCATTTTCCATTGGGCAGGTTTTAGATAAAAGGATTATAACAATTAATAATCCACAACATAGCAGAAAGACAAGACGATGAAAATCAAAACCGAAGAAAAATGAATAGAAATAGAACAAAGCAATACAAAAAAGAGCTGAAACTGTGAAGAATTCTGGTCTATGAGAGAAATCCAGTCTTTGACGTGATAGAGAGAGTTAGAGAGCAAAGAATCCCTCACCCCATCCTTCCTCTCCCAAAAATTTGAAACTCCGGTATTCAAGCATATGCCAATCACCTTTTCTTTTCTCAAAATTTCAGACAAAATAAGATTTTATTATGTATTGTAATAGCAAAGAAGTGGCTATTACATCAATAAGAGTTGGGAGATTCAAACCCATGACCTCTTGAAGATGTTTTAAGTACTAAGCTATGCTCGTGTTGGGTCCTTCCAAGAGTTCTTTTTCCCTCTTGTTTTCGATTTATTCTAATTGGTCATCTTTCTTAAGGATAAATTGAACTCATAATATTCCAATATATTTTATCAAAGTTTCCTAATTTGAAATAGAATAGCATGTAATCATATCAATGAACCCATGTCCATTCTTTATAGATTATTTCTAATATAGTACGTTTGATACTCGAGGGCATCAGACCAACTTCTTCTCACCTGAACTCGTTACAGTGAATTATCTTCACCAATTAATTTTGGAAGTTGAAATATGCATGAGATAGATAGTTGATAACGGTCAACGGAACGACAAACTTAAATGTACAAGTTATAAGGGCTCCTTTAACCGTTGTTCCTACATCTGAACAGTCATCAGATGGTGGAAATTAGACTACTTTGCACAGATAGCAAGAGGAGAAAACTTACATATTTCCATCCAAGAATTTGTCCGCAACAGCAACAAAAGATATCTTCCACAGTGTGCATACCAGAAAGCATCAACCTCTCCTCCTTGGGACCAGATGTTATATTCACTCTGCCAAAAGGTTAAGAGTCAATGTCGATCAGAAATGTGCAAGAAAAGGGAAGAAGGATAAGAACTGTGAGGCAATATACTGTAATTTTCGAATCGTGAGAACTGCTTAAGAAATACTAGTAAAAACCCAAACCATCAGAAGCTATTTCTATATATAATTGTTCTCAAATAAGGAAAACAGAATTTAAAGGGAAGTCAATCAATTCTCCTCCTCTTACAGAAGTCCTCATCCAATGGTTCCTAAAAAAAAATCTAGAAATTTGGATTTGAAGCTGCACATAAAATAAGATCAGGGCCACTTACACATTGCTGAAGAGATATGCCCTCCCTTGGCTGCAATTGAAAGTCTGGGACAATAAGAGAACAATAAAAATTCATCAAAATGGGCAAGTCGAAAATGAAATAGAAAAGATTCAAAAGGAAATCGATCGTAATATTGTTGGAGTTTCACTTCCAACATAGCATTTAAGACTCAGTAGCGTCATTTTACATAGCGACGACGGACAAATTAACCATACCCAAAATATGCTTGATATTTCAATTAAGAATGCTTGGCTCAAAAAACAAAACAAAAATCAGGAATATCAATTAAACCAGCAAACAACGATTGAACAAAGAACGCATAACGCTAATACAAGGAAAAACAATCCATCTTGATGCAAACCTATAATTCGAGGACTAAAACTCCCGTTTTCGGTTCAGATTGTCGCGAAATTGAATTCCAGAATTTCAACGAACAAAATTGTAGCATGTATGGGCGAAATTAGTCGATGGAAACGAAGAAAGGAGTTGAGAGAATTCGCAGAGAAAAATAAAGAGTGAGAGTACCCGAGAAAGGACGTCATCGGCAAGAGCAACATTGTTATTACAGAAGCGGCATCGGTAAGACCTGCCTTCCAATTCAACCAGAAAAACCCTACCCATTAAAAACCCTAGAAGAATCCCAAATTGAAGACCTAAGCTCTCACCAAACTCATACGCAAATATTCATCCCCCTCTCCTCCAGACAAAATCAGAATAACGAACTTGAAAACTTTGTCATGCCTGGTCGGTTTGCGAGATGCCAGTAGCCGTTTCCTTCCAGCTACGGGAACCGGTAATTACCGGTTCTTCCTTTCTTCCCCTTCCCAGTTCTAATTTTGGGCTTCAGCCCACTCAATAATGGCCCCAAACTCTTTTTTTTTTTTTTTTTTTTAAATCTGAATTTAATTGTATTAATTTTAATTTTTTTTACTCTGAAATTAAAATTGAAATAAATGTATGAAAAAAAAAATAATTAGGTTATTAAAAATGGATTTGTTAATTGAATACTGAACTATGCAAATATGTTTAGGTTAGCATTAAATAATAAATATTAAAATTGTATACTAAAATGGTTTGGAATTGGTTTTATCCATAATAACTCCACAAACTTAAATAATAGTAAATAAAATAAAAACCACAAATAAATTGCCACTTCCTTAATATAAAACTATGTTTTGTCGTCTTCCTCTGTCCTAATTACGTGTCCAGTGGACCTCACCCCTCCCTAACCTCCGCCTCCAAATATCGTCCCGTCCGGCGATCTGGGCTGCCTGAGCTGACCTTCACATGGACGGAGAACCCAATTAATCATGTTCTTCTTTCTTCTTTCAGCTTCCTCCGTTGCCGGAAGTTGTTTTGTTTTTTTTTAACAAAAAGGAGTTGGATAGTCCTGATAGCTAGTACACGTGTATTAATTGACATGGAGCTTCAAAAATGTTGCCATAATTCATCTTTGTCGGAAAAATTGAAGCCTACGCGGACTCCGGTGGAGGGAAATTGAGATCTAGATCTAGAATGGGTCTTGATTTGTGGTCATTTTGGTTGAGATTACTAACGGAGTATGAATCTGAGTCACTTTGAACTCCGCCGCAGGGGATTGTTTTTTGGTGGCGGCGATCGAAACTCGCGGCGGATTGATGATTATGAAGAATCTCAACCATTCCGTGGCGGAAAATGGGATGATCGAAGAGGAAAAGGTGATTGGTCGGCGGGAAAATTCCGAAGGGGAAGGGCGGCGTGGATCCGGCGGCGATAGCGTCAGGTTCGTGATTGAGGTCAAGAGTGAGGTCTGGGTTGGGGGATTCAACGGTGCTACTTCTGTTGACGATAACCGGAACGGGAAAGGGAAAGGGAAAGTTAGTCTTAGCCTTGGCGCCGCGGAATTTGCGGGCGGCGGCATCGTAAGCCATCGCCGCCTCTTCCTCTGTTTCAAATGTGCCTAGCCACACACGGATCTTCTTCGCCGGATCTCTAATCTCCGCCGCGTATTTTCCCCATGGCCTCTTCCTCACTCCTCTAAAATGTACCTCTCTGTCCTTGCAGCCGGCTGCCACCGCCGCCTTAACCTTGTCTCTCGGCGCCATAGTTGATTGAAGAAAATGGTGATCCGATGGTTGTAAGTTGATAGAGGAAATGGAAGTGGAAAGGAAGGGACTTCGGGATTTATAGAAGAAAATTTTGGAATTTTGGAATTTGATTCAATCAGAAATGGCAAAAGTCAAAAGCAAGGAATTTGACTTCCCGGTCCCATCCCCACCGTTTGTTGTAGCATCATCCAATGGCTAGTATTCAACCATCATTTTTTTCGAAATATCAAATAAATATAAATTTACAAAGTAAATTTGTAATTTGGTTATTATTATTATATTTGTTTAAAGAAAAGAAAGTAAGTTCGATTTTATTTTTGAGGTCTCCGATTTGGTGGGCCCCAAAAAGATCGCACCGGTCAAAAACTGACGCGTGTCCTTGTTTCCTAATTGGCCGATAATGCACATCCTGGTAACCTCACGCGACAGCACCAATTTTTATTTATTTTGTAAATGGAAACGGAAGCAGCCAAACAGCGCCGCCCCATAAAAGGGTGACATTTCCAGTTTTCCCACACGCACCAACTTTTAAGATGGGCCCACGTCTTCTCCCCAGACACTTGACTTTTGTTTACGCGCCAACCATCATCTTACACGCGCCTCTTGTCTTCATTTTTCTGTCCTTTTAATTTTTGTTAATTTTAGTTCATATCACTATTTTCATCCCTTTTAAGTTTTAACTTAAATTTATTATTCTCAATCAAAACCCTCTAAACATAATTATTTGTTGATATAGTTATAAGGAATATATTTGATGTTGTATTGGAAAAAGTCTATCTAAATAAAAATTTACATTTAAGGATCTGGATTCTGGCTTCAGCCACTATAGTTCATATTTGGCCTAAATGACTAAGTGAAGGTTGTGAATAGATTACTCACGTATGATCTAAAACGTCCCATAAATTTTAAAATTTTCATTTTCATGTCAATATATCTCAAAATTATTATTATTGGAGAAATGAGAGAGGAAATAATTGGGTGCACCCATTTGCACGAGAGAAAATGGTCAAACACGTGAAAGAGGGAGTTGACGTGTGTGGCACAAAAGTCGACATCAAAAACAAACCGAGTAATAGATAATGCATACGAGGAACCAACCAACCCTAAACCAATTAATGCCACGTGTGAAACTTTGAATCTTTGATTTGTTTGGAATTTATCGAATAAATTATTGATTAAATTTGTTAATAGTTTTGATATTTTGGTTTGGTTGATTGCATACGGTCCAGGAAAAAGAACCCTTAATAATGGTTAAGATGGTGATATTGGTCCTTAATTAACCATATCTCAGTCGCATAATGTTATTTTGATGTCCTTCGTGTCGATAACGTCGCTCATGAATGGCATTACGAGGCAATGGCTTTCTAAGTCATGCCGCAAGCCTGTACCTAAGATATAAGTATGCTAGTCCTGCTGTTATGTTTTGCCTCACCATGGCCAAGGGCCTAATTCGATCAATCATCCAGTAAATGGGTTCGAATCGACGAGCCAGAGGCTTGGTTTGAACCATTGACGATCTAAGCTATGAACCATTGACGAGCCAGGGGAGAAAGTCATTAAAGTGATAAAGGTTTTGTTCCTGAGGCTCAGGTTTCCAATGGTAGAAACGGCATTGGTGATTCTTCGGTGGGAATGGGAAGAATTTGAACAATTTTTTGGAGTGCGACAGTTTTCTATGATATTTGATCGCCCACCTGTTTATAAAACCAAAAAAGGGTTGCATTTCTTTCCTCATATAAATCGTATAGATCCTGTGTAATTGATGGTCGCCAGTTCTGTAATGCAGCATTCTCAGTTTGATGTAAAATTTTAGAAAGTGTTATGTAATAAATATCTCAACCTTTCACACAAGATATCAATATGTCACTAAAATGCTAATAGTTGCTACTATATTTCATATCTTATGTTGGAAAATTTATCTCCTGGCTAAGCTAAACAATGAGAAGTATACCCTCTTTTCTCAAGGATGACCCTTTACCTGGAAAATCGTGAAGAGAGGAACATCCAAGCGCCAAAAATTGGGAAGGTAACCAGAGCAGACGCCTAAAAATCCATAAAACATGATTAAACTCGAGAAGTAGGCGAAAATACAGGTAGGAGAAGTTCTAGATGAAGCATCAAGATTTTTGGTGGCTTACCAGAAAGAAAATAAATTCCCTGTTGGCAAGATATGCTGCATATTCATTTCTTTCCATTTCTTGTTTAATCAGTCTTTGTAACTGCAGATATCAATATTCAAAGTTTATAGTCATTATCACGAAGGGATATAGCTCAGATTGGCAATAATGCTTATTCCACTGCAATATCTATATTCTGGAATGAAATGCAAATGTCAAAGAGTAAGAGATGGAGGTAGCAGCACATTTCAGAAGAAGCTATGTGGTGTGCAATTCGTTTTGTTCCTATAAGTCTTTGCAGAAATTATTAGATTGACTTTAAGGTTTATGTAGACAAACACACACACACATACACACACACACACACACACACCTCATGGTGATACTTTTTGGCTTCCTCATAGACTCTTTGGAAGTGATGGATGGCTCCTGTAACCATGGAACTCAAGGTAGACACTTTGGTGAATAGATGATGGTTCGATGTCTGAAGCGCCTTTTGAAGTTGATTGATAAAACGCGTGTTGACCAACTATACAGATGAAGCATCAATAAAGCTTACAAGTGAAATTATTTGGAAGAAGATGTGAAGTGATTGAAGACATTATGAAGGTTTAGGTAACCATAATGCACGGGGTGAGGCAGAGTAATGAAAAGACAATGTTCAACCAAGGTTGTCCAACAATTACCTTCAAATAGGTGCATCTGGTTAGAGCAACTTGCCGGTGGACCTTCAAAGCTCGTATCTAGTCACAAGCCAACAAAGTTAGTTAATACATCAGCAAAGCAGCTCAACGATAAAATTTTCCATCATTGTGCCCTCTCCAGCAAAACATACTTTTGTCATTTCAAGAGCCTGCTCGAGATGCCGAATTTGAATCCATTGTTCAGATACTATGGTAGACTTCTGGAAAATAAAATGGCCACAAAGTAAGCATACTAACCAAGGAATATGTCACAAAGGAACATTTTATCAATGGATATAAGTTGGTTGAGCAGAAGATATATTAGTTACATAGGGAAATGAACTCATTCTCAATCAGAGTCCAGATTATAAACAAGTGATATCCACCGCATTTCTTCAATTAAATAGACTGTGGACAATGTTGTGCTAACATGCGAAAACGGAGGAAAACATGAAAAACTTCAAACAAATGACCAGATGTTCAAGGATTTCTCTTTTCTTATTGTCTATAATTAATCATTGCATGATAATAATAGTTAGTGTGAGATCCCACGGTTGGGGAGGGGAACAAAGCAAGGGTGTGGAAACCTCTCCCTAGCCGTGATGGGGAAGCCCATAAGCTAAAACCCAAAAACCTTGAGGGAAGCCCAGAAGGGAAATCCCAAAGAGGACAGTATCTGGATGAGTACCAGTTCCACTATGTAACTCTTAAACACGCGTTTTAAAAATCGTGAGGCAGACGACGATACGTAACAGGCGAAAACAGACAATATTTGCTAGTAGTGGGCTTGGGCTATTACAGTTAGTTAATACCATGGAGTGTATAGATGAAAAAGATAATGTACATTGTATCACACGAACATGCAAAATAATTATAAAACATTCGTCTTAGTTTTATACATTTTCCATGGCACATATGTGAGCATGTTGCAGAACATTCAAACACAATGCCGGCTAGAAAAACAAAAAACCTGTTGCAATCTGGTCAGAAATTTATACCTTCTTAACTTGTGAAGTAACCTCTTCCAATTTTTCCTCAGCTTCCTGTACCTTGGCTTTCAGAATATGAATTTCGAAGTTGTTCTTTCTCGATGAAGCCCAGAGACGTCGTACCTAATATGCCCAAGCCAACTATACGGATTAATTGAACTTTTGAAGATGCTTCAACAAAATTTACCAGATAATTGGCCCCTTGATCAGAAAATCCAAAGAAGCATAAAAAAATTAAATACGAAAAAGCAAACGAAAACCTCATCCTCCAGAGCAGCAGTCCTTTCATCATCACTTGATGTTGTCCTCTGCATATCAACTAAACTAATATCAGTCTTAATGATGATCTTCGACATTTTCTCAAAGAAATAAAGCATTTAGATGATGTCTGACTGATGTTTCTACCTATTGTCGTGCAATTGAGAATTAAACGCTTAAATTGAAAATAGAACTCAATCTATAATCAGACGAACTTTTGCATTGATCTAGTAAATTCGGAGGTGTGAATGGGCTAACTGCCCAACTCCAAAATCCGTAAATGAATAACATCCAAAACGTTCTTATGTAAGATAACTAGACGAAGAATATGAAAATGCAAGACGGAATGAATCTCTGTAAACGCACAAACAGGTGAAGCAACATTGTCTGCATCATAAAGCACGAATCAAACCTTCAAATCAGATAGAGCAGACTCCAAGTATTGAATCTTATGGGACATAGCCTCGATTAGCTTTTCCTGCGCCTCGAGCTCATTTCTTTTCTCGGTTAAATTTTGCTTGCTTTCCTCCAGAACGGATTCTGCATTCAATTTTATTAAGTACAAAAACAGCGACACCACAGAGAAGCTATGTAATAAATGCGTCAGCCTGAAGTCTAGATTGACGGAAACTACAATGAGCTAAATCCTGTCAAGAATTAAAACAGTTCAATGTCATGTGAAAGGAAAACAGTAAACGGTATGCACCTAAGTGAGAGATCCTGAGCTTGCTTTCCACCAATTCGTCGATCAGCCCATGGTTACTTGATCGACCGGGCGAGGCGATTTCACAGACGGCGAGAAGAGGTAAGAATATGGCGGGAAGGAGATACAAGATCTTAAATGGGCAAATCGCCATTTTTGCAGAGCTTTCTGAGTTCACAACCCAGAAACCCGCCTGCAATTTCTGCAACGCGAGACTCCCTCACGCATGTGAATCATTTCTTCGCCGTCATCAATTTTAAGATAAATTATTGTAAGAAAAAAGCTAAAAATACAATTACTATTAGTTTGTGATGAAACCGTTCATAATTTATCCTAAAGATATCCCGAGAACTTACAAAAATATCATTACCATCTTCAACCTAATTTCTCTTTTTTTTTTTTTTTTACTATTAATACATAGATGAAGATAATTCATTACACCACATTCATCTATACTGAACAATTTCTCAAATATCAATCTTTTTTTTTTCTCTCTTTTTAAGTAACATACTCTCATTTATGAGCATTTTCAAACATAAATATATGAAAGTTCAACCATTTTTTGAGCTTAATTTTCTTTATTAAAAAATCAAATAATTGTAAAATGGATTCTAAATGGAACAAGTTAGAAAATGAACTCCGTGTTTCTAAGATTGAGAAGTGAGAGAAACAATCTCTCCCTCTGGAGTTAGATTCTGAGGTCACATTATTGGGGCAGATGGAAAGCATGAGACTCAACAAGTCGTAATGGGTTCTTCTCTGTGCAGTGCACAGAAAGTTGGGTCGATGCGTTTCTCCATGATGGTCACTTTGCTTGCTTTCTTTCAGAAGGTGATCTGATCATAAAGGGCATCTACAAGGCTCAATTCCCCATGTCTGCTCTGCATAATCTTGGATGGTTCTGTCACTGCTGAATCTACCCGAACCAGCAGTGCTGAGGATGCTCATCTGTGTCCATTTCTTTTGATCGACAAATGCTTTATCTGCCGCTGCCTGGAGTAGAATGCAATTGATCATTATATCATTGTAAAACAAATTACTAGGAAAAGCCTATTGAACACCAAAGGAATACCTGTGCCTCTAAATAGCTTTCGAAATCGGCACCAAGGAGATAATAATCGTCGCTGCCCTCCACAGTGTCGCATAATGATTGGAAGTAGTCTTGGAAGCCGAAGTAACCATCTCGAACCATTCTTAAAAGCAAAGCATTACAGAAAACATAAAAAAAGGATTCTAAAATTGAGGACGGTAAGCTCATTGTGCATTCCCCAGTGGATCATAACAGTTGAGAGAGATTGTATGTATACCTCACAACACGAGCAAATTGTAGAGGCACCTTAACAATTGTCGATCCTTTTTCACGCAATGTTGCAACTTCATGCACCTTTGCTCCAAATAAAAACTGAACCAAATAAATTGGAACTATCGTAAATCCTTATTTCCTGACATAAACTTAGTGCACTCAAGGTTTCTGACATCTGAAAAGCCAAAACTTTTGTAAAAGACAGATTCTATTTCTAGATGCAATGGTGTGTGGGAATGGCAGTCAGCCTGCATAAAATTCTTTGAGATGACTCGTATGCGTAAAATTGACTTAATCATGCAAAAAGAGAAAGATTAAACATCCTAATAGCAGATGGAAAAAACAAGGTGCTACTGCACTTATCAAGATTCTTGATCAGTTTTGAGAGGCATATCAGTTCCATTTCTCTCTAACGCTAAGACAACTTAGAGACGTGATGGAAGATTTTGATAACCTAACAACACAGATAATGTGAGACTGTAATTTGCATTTGGAAAATAATTGCTATGAAAAAAGACGGTATGAAATGATTATACAACTACTTCATCGAAGGCATTAACTTCCAGTTATTTAAACATTTTCCTAGTTTGATTCATTGACTGCAAGAACCAACAATTTCCTAAAAGCAGGATGATCGGGTGATAAACTTTTCAATATAGATAAAGTTTAATTAAGAACCCTCTAGTTAAGCTATAAACTATGAGAAAGATAACTCACCATGTTGTCTTCCCCTATTTCTTCAATTATTTCAACCGTAGATCCATCTGCTGTAGCTAATAATAAACAGCCATTCATAAGAAATTTCATGCAACCAGTGCCTGATGCCTCATGTCCAGCAGTACTACATCAAAATTTATTGCATCTTATGCACCAAAGAAGATGAAGAAGAAATGAAAGCTTCGTGGAGGTTATTGTATATACTTCAGTTATGAAAGAGATGGACTTTCGGTGACAAACTCAGGATAGAAATTCCTTTGAATTTAATTTGAGCCACATTATCAGTTTTTTCATGTACGCATTCTTTAAATTATTAAAACTTAAAATCGCAAGTTCATTGAGACAGTCGCACAACTAACTATTTCATTACTTTTGTACAGAAGTAATGTATTCCTGCATTTCTTATTGTAGATCATTGGAAGAATACTTGCAACGGGGTGCCTTCGTTTTCACCCCTGTATGGTTTTTCTAGTTTGTGATTATTATGTGACCGAAGTTCTCCTGTTCCTCTTCATAAAAGTTCCGTTTTCTATCAAAAGAAAATCAACCAACCTTATGTGCTGCGAAAGATCGGCACCAGGTATTATCATTTCAGCAACGGATACATTGTAATCAGGAATAAAGACCTGCATTATTTCAAAAGTCGTAGAGGTGAAAGTCAGTTGAAGCGTAGGAGGTATTTGTAAAGACATAACTATTGGTCATTTACAAGATAGAGGATTGAGGTAGCAGAAGACTTGAGATATGTGACTGACGTTATTAATCTTTTAGAAGATCACAGAAAAGCCTCTTACCAGTTTTAGAAGATCCCCTATGTCACTGTCGTTATTGATCTTTTCTGCTACAGCATGACAAAGTTTGATGATCTTCTTTGCCATTTCATAACCAGGAGCAGCCTTTCCTCCAATTATGCAGATGCGAGGTACTACTTTCTTCCGGTCATCCTTAGCCATATTCTGCAATAAGCAAATAAGTGGTGACCAATGTATAAGTTCCATAACAATGAAAATAAAATAAGGAGACCGAAGGCATGGAATTTATGAGATTGCTGACGATATGTCCTTAAAACTGACATGGCATTCCGTCTTCTCCAATAAAAAAAGAAGGAAAACTATCACAGTTCCAATCTACCTTTATGCAGTCATATCTATGGATGATGCCTATTATATTCAGCAGCTGTCTTTTGTACTCATGTATCCTTTTTATCTGCACATCGAACATTGCATCTAAACTGACCTGCATTAGTCAAGAGTCGAGGTATTATCACAATAATACAGCAACATGTGATAAAGAAGACTAAATACAAGCTAGTAGAGATTAGAGATACAATATGGAATATCTGCCCACCTTGAGGCCACTTGTTGCTTCAATGTATTCAGCAAGCCTCATTTTATTTATCTTCCGCACCTAAAAGTTCACGCTACAAGAATGAGACCCAACATCCATAACAGGTAGTCAGTCCAACTTGGAGAGAATGAATGCAATAAATTACCATTTGCCATTCTTGATGCAGGGAAATATCAGCGGCATATTCACGCAAGCCCATTAGAAGGTCAATATCACGTATCCAAGACTCTGTCCCAAGCCATTTTGAGATGAGAGCACATAAACTAGGATTGCTTACCACAATCCAGCGACGCTGAGGAAATCAGTCATCGAACAGATTAGTCAAGCACTTTCATGGAATCCAATTTGAAATCTTCTCAGCAAACAAAAAACAAGAAAGAGAGAAACAAGGATTTTTCCAAATACACGTGGAATATATGAACTTACGGTGGTGAACAAATAACCAAACAAGCATATCTATGACCTTAATATAATCAAGATGACATCAAAGGAGCATTATATTTATTAGGACGCAAGTAAAATTATGAGTCAATATCAATCTTAATGACCAGGGGAAACATGGAAGATCCCAAAACTATTGGAATACGTGGCATACACAGCCAATAGTTTTATTTGATATAGTTAATAAATAGTTCTGCTCATATTTAATTCGCTAAAAAAAAGTGACATAGGTGCATTCATCATGTTTGCCAAACCCCTTATTTCCAATCATACTGAACAATAAAGAAAGATAATGATCAGACACATCCCAACATATTTGCCAGATCACTACAATCTACCTGGGTTACTCCATTTGTTTTGCACTGAAATTTTTCTGGCCACATCTCATAGAAGTCCTGCAAAGATGTTCAGATGTCAACTCTATAGCCTTACAGCCGAGCATCAAGTCTCTTAAAAGCTGATGAAGTTTGCAATACCTTAAATACCCTTGTTTGTAATAATTCTGAATGTAATCTGGATACGCCATTCACAGTATGGGAACAAAAAATTGACAGGTTTGCCATACGAATACTCTGTAATATGAAAATTAATAACTTTGCAACATTCTTCAATAACACCATCCAAACAATCAGAAAAAATATTTGAAAACCGACAATGAAAACTTCATCAAAATAGAGAACTGTGATGGGTTTAGCAGTACCTTCACAGCACCTTCCTCCACAATTGACATCCGGGACAGCCTATTATAGTCTAAACCAATCCTTCTCTTCAACTCCTCCATGAAATACGAGTTTATGTCATATATAATCTAACAAGAACAACACCCCGTAAGCTTGTGAAAATTTATTTAGCTTAAATTAAGTAGAAGAGATATTATAAGAAGAAAGAGGTTTTAAAAAATTAAGACAACACTAGGAATACAGCAAGGACAAGAAGCCTTGCTGACTCTCAAACATTAAACTTTATCATTCAAATGAACCAGAACAAAGGAAAACAAAATTTATGATAAAACAAACAACGATGATCAGAACATACTTGTAAATGCCGTGGGAGAAGACTTTCAAGCAGATCAACAGGGATCTTCTCCAGCGCTTCAGCTAATACTGTGTGAGTTGTGAATGAAAAGATTTTGCATGTTATGTCAAATGCTTCATTCCAGCCAAGACGTTCTTCATCAACAAGTATTCGCATGACCTCAGGTATCGCAAGAGCCGGATGAGTATCGTTCAGTTGCAGAGCAACCTAATACATAGAAGTAGGCACAGTTTATGGAAATGTAAAGCTGACTACTAATTCTGTGTTTGCTAGAAAATGACAAACATAAAGTGGGCACAACACTTAAAAAAGAAAATATAATGAACCACACTTTCATTGAGAAAAAAAAAAAAAAAAAAAAAAAAAAAAAAAAAAAAAAAAAAA